GCATGAACATACATCTGTTATTCTTGATTTGTTATTTCCATGTTTTTCTCATGTATATACAGTAATATTTACTCTATTCTGTGTATTACTTATTACTTACCATTTCTGATTGTTCTTTGCTCTTTGTATTCTGTTGTTGAATGTTATGTTGTATGTTGTATCTATTCTCAAGTTAGAGGAATAAGTGAATGTCTCCACCTAAAGGTTTTCAGTGTCACCAGATGATGTTGTGAAGCAGTAATTCGCTGGGGTCTTTGCATGATATATCAACACTTTGTGCTGAGTTTGTGCTGCGTTGTGCAACTGACATTATTGAATTATCTGCTACGCTGCTGCTGCTGTTGGTTATTGCTGTAGTTGTAGATTATTGCTGCTGCTGCAAGCAAGTACAGGAACATACTACTGCCAATGTATACTGTGATACGGTGCCGTGAGTATTTAAGACATACTGCTGCTGCACAAAATAGCATATAAAATAACCCCATAGCAGATCTGGAGGGTTTCAGAGAACTCTGAAAGCACGCTGCAGGAATCTCAAGTGAATGCTAGCCAGCCATATAAATGCAAGGCAGTAAGCTCATTGGCTGCATATGCAGCATGAACCAATCAGTTTGTGCCAAGTCATTTAACTCTGAATATCATCAGTTACATTAACAACCAGTCAGCCTGCGCCATCTAGAGTTTCATGACTGAAAAAGATATTTTTACAATCACTTACGGTCTCCCGTTTTTTCATTTTTCATTTAAAATATTAATTTGTTCTCAACACAGAAAGATGCAAAAGCAAAGACAAGCTGACAAATAAACAAGACCTTCAGGTAAGACATCACATATTTTAAAAATACAAATAAACTTAAGTGGTACATAATTTATTCTAAAAAAAAATGATTTAGTTTAAAACCTATTTATTAAAATATAAAATTTTGAACACAGTAAACAATAAAATAAAATAGAATATTTTATTTAAACTGCAAATATTAATTTAATGATAAACATCTGCCATCTCTTCACTACAGTGTCACTTCTAGTAGGTACTTTTTAAATGTTATTGCTGATTTGGACAAGGCACATAATTAATTGTCCTATTTAAATCTATTCAAACTTGCTCATGAGCTTAAAAACTTTGATCTAGGCTTCTGTACAGATGCTTGGAATTAATATATGCCTATATGTATGATTCTTTTTTTTATTTACATCATTTAACTGACCAATGCATGTGTGGTGTGTTATACATATTTTCAGAGTAGCTTTACATTAATCTCTTCTGCTTTACTTGTCACATGGTTAACATATCTTGTTGATGATCTGTTCAGCTTTCAGCATTTTTTTCTGCATTCCAACATTTCCCATAGCTAGTCTCTGTATCCTATGTTCCTCCCAGTCTAGGATTTGTAGTTTTAGTAAACCAGCTGTTAGTTTATCATGATAATGACAAAAACTAACAAATAAGATAAGATCTGCAACAAATAAGATCTTACAGCTTCAAAACCCTTCACAAATTACCTGTACATTATATATATATATATATATATATATATATATATAGGTCTTTGTTGTACTTACATATTCAAATGGGTAATCCAAAATTGGTAGATACAAATCTTACACAACTGCACCCTCAAATGCTCAGAACATCTAATAGAGAAGTCTTACAATTGGCCAAGCATGTGGTCCTGTGGTCAGTTGTTTTTTATTTTATTTTAATGACTTCAGTGATGACTGTCAGTATATGGATATTTTCTGCATACCTTTAGTAGGTAAACTGAATTTGACCCAATTTTTGCTTTGCTTTAGTGTTGCTTTATCGTTCCATTTGCATTTATGTTTTTGGCAGATGCATTTATCTAAAGGTGCTTATATTATACTGCATTCAAGGTATAGCTACATTTCATCAGTTCATGCATTCCTGGGAATCAAACCCATGATCTTGGCATTACTAGTGCCATGATCTACTG